TATATATATATATATATATATAAAAGTATATAATTGGTGTATACGGAATGAATTCCCCAACAATTACTATTCTTAAAAGAGTGCTCAATACAAAGTAGAACAGATATAATTATTTTTTATAAAAAAAAAAATTAACATAAATATGATGTTGAAGATAAAATAAATGGTTTTAAAACCATTTATTTTATCTTCAACATCATCACTTGATAAGACACCGAGGGTGTTGAAACAAAATGGCTATTTTTGTAGTGATTTCATAACATATTTATAAAAAAATTTTTATAAAAAATAATTATATATATAGGCAACTGGACGTCTAGCCACATTGATGACCTGTGATACAGCGAAACTGTGGATGACAATATATATATATATATATATATATATATATATATATATATATATATATATATATAGATTGTCATCCACAGAGAGACTGTTTCGCTGTATCACAGCTGTTCAGTGTGTCTAGACATCCGGTTGCCTCTAGTTAGGATCGAATCCCGACTGAATCTGGTTTTAGTCGGAGATTCTACCATTGAGCCGTCGGTGCACGGCAGGGACGAAAGTGAATATTAGTATATTTATTTTTAGATAAACACTCAGTAACTTAGAGGTTATATATATATATATATATATATATATATATATATGTGTGTGTGTGTGTGTGTGTGTGTGTGTGTGTGTCTATCTATATATATATATATATATATATATATATATATATATATATATATATATATATATATATGTATGCATCGTAACCGAGGAGGGAAAAGCACGTCGGATCAAAGGACAGTTTCTCGTGCAAAGAAGGATGCAAGTTCGAATCTTGCCGGAGGTGGGGTGATTTTTTTAATATGAATTTCCTAATATTCAGGCCGGTAACGAAGGAAAATCCTCCTTAAAACAAACGCAGCGTCTACTTAAATATGCGCATCCTCTAAAAAGATCATTTAAACTAATAAAAGCAACACACACACACACACACATATATATATATATATATATATATATATATATATATATATATATATATATATATCATAAAAGTTTTATTTAAATGAGCAGACAATGTCTGTCTGTTCAATGTTTATTTTTTTTTTTATTATAATTTTCCAATTTTTGGATAAGTCGTTGAGTAATGTATTCAAAGCTGTGGATAATATTTCCGAATTTCATATTTTATTATTTTTGTTCAAGTACCTTCGACTATCGCACTCATTTTCAATAACGAATCCCGACGAAGAAACTTTTAAAAACAAACAATATCCTGTTTATGATAAGATATTTGAAAGTATCCTTTCCCCGGTCTTCTAGCAGATTTTACAGTAATGGTGAATATGAATGAGTGGTCTGTTTTAATTTAGCAGAAATTACATTCGAATCCCGTATATCTAAGCAAGATTTCAACTTTCGATATAGTCACCCACTGTCATTACGCTTATTAACCTCTCTCCAGATAGCAATAAAATCGTACAACGTTATAATTCTGTACTATAACAAACAATATATTATATATATATATATATATATATATATATATATATATATATATGATGAGCCAGGGATAAAGACATTTCCTGGCGAAATAATTATAACCAATGGACTCTTAAAGTTGTCTATTTTCATTGTCTCTCTCTCTCTCTATATATATATATATACAAAGTTCCAGAAAAAGCGTTGTCAGGGACTAGGACTGAACGTATGCATTAATCATATGACAGTGCGATTATAATGTAAATGCTTTACACTATGAATCAAAAGAAAATCACGATAAAAATTATTTTCATTTTTCCAAGTATCTCTATTAATTTTAATACTAGTAACGTGATTGGTGAGTATGATGGATACCTGTGATCAATGAAGGAAATGAGTGCGTTCACCTTCGGGGAGAAAAAATATAAGTCAAATAATTTTTTTCCGGTTTTCTCACTTAATAGTTGCAGAGTTATATGTAGATGAGTTTTCTCTTTATCATTTAAAACAAGTAAATACTTTTCGTTCTTTTCTGTTTTGGTACCTCTTACTTTACTCGTGTTCTTGAAGAAGGTGAGATAATATTTTTTGCCAACTGATCCACAATATTTTCCTAATACTTGTATTGTAAGTTTCATTCTATATAGCAATGCATTCAGTATACTCTTTGCTTTCTATCTTGTTTCCTTTTTGAACTAATGACAGTTTGTTTTGTTTGTTTTTTTCTTTTTGAACACAGCAGAATTTATTTCTAAATAAAGTCACTGCAAAATGTAGGCATATATCTCGTATTTCTATCTTATTTGCATGTATACTGTTGTCATTGTATTAGTAGCTAGTTAAACAAGGGCACTTTTATAGGACTTTATTTTTATTTTGCTGTTCAAGTGTATGAAAGAGAAAAGGAAATGGTAATTGCGTGCCACTCTGAAAATTGAACAAAGAAAACAAAATTTTCTTAATTGGCTACTGACATCAGCAAGAGTCAAATACCGCTCCACTAAAGAGGAAGAAAACTTCATCTAAAATTTCTCTCTCACACGCACAAACAGAAATGCGCGTGCGAGCAAACACTCACGCATACGCACACACACATCACACGCGTGTGGGGGTGTGTCACTCTGCTCTGCGCGTATGTCATGAAGTCCGCGACATTCATGCCAACTTTCTCTTAAAATCGGACATCATTACTTTTGTCCAGGATTGGCCACACACACACATCTACATCACTTCGCACACTTATATGCTGAATATTTTATTAAATCAAAAAGTTATGCACAGAACTATGTGAAAATAATATATAATTTCACATCTCAAATATTTCAATGTATATTTGTAGATATGCGTTCGTGGCCGGGGAGCTTTTGAATTTGCCTCTTTGTATTGATCATATATTAGTTGCGATTTATAGAAGCCTGTTTAATTTGGTTATGTGGCTTTTTTTTCTGATTTCCCATTCTATTAATCAATTTAAGTGGCTTTTTCAACTGCCTTTTTTATATCGATCATTTCTTGTGGCTTTTTCATATGCCTCTTTAAGTTGATCACTTTATGTGGCTTTTACTGTTTCCTCACGACAATGATCATTTCATTGCTGTCTCAAGGATACATGGCGCAGTGGATAAAAATGTTGGTTAGATCCAGTAAATAGACCCAAACATTTGTGAGTTCAATACCTGGCCACAGCAGTGGTGAACCACAAACTTGGGGAGTTCAATTAAAGGGAAATAACTGAGACATCTGTAAGAGACATGGTACGTGGAACTAGAACTTTCTACCCCGGTGGACAAAATAAAGGATTCGTTTCTAAATTCCTATAATCTGGAGAAGGCTGGAGCGTATGTATGCATGGTATTAATTAAATTGATAGGTAAAGCTCATGAAAATAAGGATTTGGAGGAAATGACATGAAATTTCGGCCGTGACATAATTGATAAACATTTGTTATCACTTTATAAACGAATCCTTTTTATAATATCGATACAGGTTCGAATCGATCCCTGAATATTCCAAAGCTTATCCTTAGATTGCTTGCGTTAGAAAACAGTATTTTTCAGCGAGTTAACAAGAAAGATTTTTCTTAAATAACAGACAAACGGACATATACATTTTAAGCAAAGATCATAAATTAATAAAATTATATATCCGTTCATATTTAATTTAAGAAATAATTATGCACGTCATTTTTTCTGCGTGTGCTTCTGAAAGTAATCCCATATAATTTTTTAAAATTAAAAAATATATAAAACCTATGCAGCTATCACTGATGTTAGAACATTTTTAAACTTGACATTTGTAAATAACAGTCTAGCAAATCCACAAAATCAGAGATCGATTTGACACGGCAAAGATTTATAAACAGGACCCTACTTCTCAAATGATAACAAATCAATAGTTTTCGAATATGACTAATGCCGCCACATTAAGAAAATCTAAAGAATAATAATCTCCACGAAAATATTTTCTAAAATTACTCCCTATTAATCATTTCCCGTATATCTCTCCGCGTTTGCCAGAAACAAGCAAGACTTCAAGAATGGATGGTATAATGTACACAACAAATGCGTGATGGTGTTAATAAATTGGTTTTCTGAACAAAACAAACAAACCCACTTACTAAATGGGCTGTGGAAGATAAGGAAATAGTTATTTGCGAAAAGCTAAAATAAAATATATGGATGCTTCTCCCATTTTAGCTACATAGACTGTGATCTGTCTTCTGAGCCAAACATTTTTGTTCTTTCCACTTTAATCTACTTTTCGCAGAAATCCATAGTATTTAGACATTTTTTTCTGTCAATTTAAGTTGATGTTTAAAGTAAAATATCAGATCGTCATAAGAAAACATTTGTTTTCGTCGATGCAAATGCTTTTTCCATACCTTTATTCTAACCAGGGGTATCTGAGTGAGAAACATAATGTGTTTTCCTCTACTCCACGGGAGAGAGACATTGTCACACATAGAGATGAGAATGAATTGCAACAACTAATTGGGCGTGTAGCAAGACGTCAACTCGCCAAATGAATCCAAAAAACCGGCGGGTTTGAACGGCACCGAAAGATGACATGCTCAGATCTTTATTCCATTTCTTAGTCGATGCAATCACTTTCTGGCAAATTCTTCAGGCTCGCTGTGTAATCGAAATTTTGACCGACAAATTACTCGAAACAACTCGTCAGGTGAATGTAAATTCTTAATGGATGTGTTAGTCGACACCAGACATTCTATAAACATTCAGCCAAAGCTCTTCTTCCAAAAAATCCAACCTCACTCTGAACGAATGTTCCAATATTTCCAAATCTAAGCACTGAAAATCTATGTATTGAGAACGCTTTAACCAGGTTCGTTTAAAGACGTAAGGAAATTTTCAACTTGCTGGGCCAATGACAGTTCGAAACTGCTTAGAAGTCAATGTCAATACCGATTCAAGGAAAAGTCAACATAACACACGACTGTCTCTCTGATCACAGAACCTTATAGAAAGCAAATCGCATGACATGTAATTAACTTACAAATTTCCATGTTTCCGTTAATCAGTCGTTTTATTCCTCCCACACTGTGTACAGGGAGAGGAAGCAAAACCCAAGCTCGGATATTCGACTCACAGACAAGCGAAGCTCAGAAAATCGGTAAAATATCAAATGGAATTACCCAGCTCCTCAAGAGCAACCGCTTTCGAAGCGAAGCATGAGCTGAAGCTTCGACCATTGTCTGCACATCAGACCAGCTCTTTCTCAGCTGTAGATTACCGTCAAACTATGTCCCAAGAATGCGGACATTGGAATTAACTTATCAGATGACAATGACAAGACGCTGGGTGTTGAGCATGAAATTAAGATGGAATAGTGATGTGATATTCTACATCATCCGATCTGAAAGGTCTGCCATTCTTCATTATTGTCTGATTAATAAATTCTGCCCGCAAAACAAGAGAAATCAGTGTACTGGTATTTTACGCATACGTTTATTATTGCAAACAGTGATTTCCCATACAAAATGCGACAAGGCTTCCATGCCACATGGGGAATGCATTTTCTTTATGAGGATTTCTTGAATGAGCAGACCAGTAACGGCAATACACACTGTTTTTAATAAATAAAAACAAGGCGTCTATTTCAATTACGAAAAAACGAATATAATAATGTTTGAATTAACAATTATATATATATATATATATATATATATATATATATATATATATATATGTGTGTGTGTGTGTGTGTGTGTGTGTGTGTGTGTGTGTGTAAAGTGCGGAGACTAAAGTCGTGTAGCAAAAGTCAGTTTCATGCTTGAACGCAATGACCTGAAAATTGCTTCCAGGCATGAGACACCCTGTGTCGTCACTCTGTGTTGACATGTGTGTCCGCAATTCTCTTATTTACTCAGGCTCTATCCTGGATATGGAATACATTTACACTATAAATATAGCATACATTAAAACAACTGAAACGATATTTTTTATACAAACTGGGAAAAAAATAAAAATGAAAATAAAAAGTATGGCGAGCCTTTAACTTAGGAGATCAATTGATTCCACTGCTTTGGTTTCAACCTTACGGCATCCTCAGGCGATTTTTAATTATCAATTGACCTTCCGACACTTTACCTTTTTTAAATACAATGAACGCTCTATTATTTTTTTTTAAAATAAATGAACAAACGCACGACGTTAAGTCTGATAAAAGGGAGGAGGAGGATTAAAGAAGAAGAAGAAGAAGAAGAAGAAGGAGGAGAGCTGGAGGAGAAAAACAAAGGATAATATAAATGTGTCGGTGGCGGTTAATTAAAATGTACATACTTTTTTACTCAGTCTCATATGAACGAAATAGGATTTTTTGTATTATGCAACGGCTCATGATTTCGGATCTCTGGTTCAAAAGGTCTTGTGGATCCGGAAATATCATTATTGTTAATTTTTCCTGTTGAATCTCTCCCAACAGGAAAAATTAGCAATAAAGTGCATATTTAATGAATTGTACAAAATTCCGGTGCATATTCTTATAGTCCATTAAATGTGTCATATTCATCATTTCAGGATGATTTGATCTTAAAACAAACAAAACTTTTCGAAAACAGTAAATTCTTCTAAATTTAACACAGAGCTGCGTATATATATTTCTTTTCCTTGCTAACAAATTGTAGGTAACATCCAGAGAACAATAAATGGCGGAGTAGACTAAGTAGTCAAGACAATTAACCCTTGTTTACTCCTCTCTGTATGGTTTTCAGTCGGTATTTGCTTATACATGATTTTAACAACCAACAATCCTCGATTTAATTATTTTATTAAAATTTTACAATCTCTCTCCATTTCTCTCGAACTGTATGTGTGAGTGTGTGTGTGATTGTGTGCATATGTGTGTGTGTGTGTTAGAGAGAGAGAGATAGAGAGAAAGAGAGAGAGATCGTGGGCCAACAATGATCTGAGCTGCAGTCACGTCTTTCGTCATGTACAATTGTCACCACTTTCTGGCTATGTTCTTGACCGTGGTTCAGCTTATTTGAGCTCAGTGTGGCACGAGGCCAAAGAGGAAACATTAGCCACTCAACCATATGTTTCATGTGTATGAAAGTTTGCAAAACACCTGCAGGCCTCAGGAGACATATGCATCACCATAAACTTTGAGCAGAGCTTTCTTTTATTGAGTCCACATTTGTCGTGTCGCCAGGGAAAGTAGCCCATGCCATATATATATAAAAAATATAGTTTAAGGTGTGCTATATTTATGGAATAAATTGCTAAATATCACAGATAGATAGTATAAAAATATAAATATAAAAATGGGCATTGAAGTCAACAAGCTGTTTCATGCTAGACGTAATCGTCAAGCCGCAAGTGTTAGTTTTTTTTCGATTATATATATATATATATCGGTCAGTGTTGCATTGTGGTTGATCCATTGTGCGGGAGTGGCTTTTTTGAGTATTTATTTGTTTACTTATTTATTTATTTAGGTTAATTTATTTTACTTGTTTTTTTTATTTTCATTTTTTATTTTATATATTTATTTAATCTTTTCCGTTTTCGATATTTTATATTGGGAGAATTGCTTAGGTCGCTTTTTTAATAGTTTATTTTGATCTGGGAAGATAATTAAAGCTATTAAATCGGTCAGATTCTCCAAGTTTATTTTTCACCCAAAACAAAGCAATAATGTCATTATGACGCAAAGAGTGAATAAGGTAATAAACCACGCTAACAAGAATAAAGAACAATAAAAGAACAGAATTTAAGAAGAAAAAAAATGCATTTAATTTTTTGAAGATTAATTTTCACTGGAAAACAAGAAGCCGAAAGAAATTTCCACAAACGAGAACAGCGAGAGAAGAAACTGCTACCGTGTAACTTACGGTTACATATAACCTTTCCAAAATGATTAGATATTGCTGCCAATATTACTGCGTTTAAATTAATAAAGTTTTGGAACCACAGAGGGAAAATAACCAGAACAATTACATGAAAATATTTATAGAAACGTTACAGTTAATCTTTACGCTGGTGAGAAATTGGCTAAAGCTGAAATATAAGGCCAGGACCGATAAGATTGCAGATTCTCCTTTGTATTTTATCAAGAATATCTAAATACATAGCAGAAGCACCAATCCAGATGTGACAGAAATACTTAATGCATGAAGGCCTGGTATACTTATCCATGTGTAAGATATATTCTGTCGAAAAAATGTGTCTAGCATTACACAGCGAACGTAACTTCCTAGCAGCAGATCTAACAATTGATTCAATGTAGTCTTTGCACTTCATGTTGGTGAAAAACTTTAACATGAAAAGACGTAATGAGTCACATTTCTGGAGATTAGCATCTGGCATAATGACGGAAGAAAAAAGGATTAAATAGTTAATTATTCTCTACATGTATCTACATGTATCATTGTCTGTCAGAGGGGTGATATACTTTTGGGGTACCATTTGACGCATCTGTTTTCTAAATTGGCGAATATCTTCTCACTGACATATGTGTTCCCAATAGATTTTTTTAACCCAAATCGACACTAATGCTACACTGTCATCTGCCTGGTGTCTCCTGGCTCATAAGGCCTCTTAATGAATTTTCTGTAATCCAATAATTCCATGGATATGGTAATTAGCCTCGAGGCAAACCTCTGTACATTGAAGATGCTTTGATTTTCTGCCAGGATTCTTCAACCTTTAGACGACCAAGAATTCCCAGACTAACGAGCTAAATCAACCTATTTTCCTTCTCATAGATTTGTTGCCAACTAAGACTGAAGAGTTCAATGTGCCCTACTATATAGTTGGTGGGGGTAGAAAAATACAATTATATCTTTTTTTAAAAGTACTTGCTCAAAAGTGGATGTAACGAGCTCTACAAGAAATTGAACATTGTTTGCTGTTGCCGAGCCGCTAAATATTACACCAGCTACACATCCTATGGTAATGGGATAGACACTTACGAGAAGGAAAATTCTGAATTCAAACTAGCCTGAAGTAAGGTGCTGTCCGTAAGATTTGACAGACCAATGCTACTGATGTTTCAGTATATGTGTTGCTCCTACGACCCTGATGAAAGACAGGACGAGTCATCGTTGTAATGGCCTTTGTAAGAAATCTACAATGCTATTAACAAACGGAAATCTGTGTAGGATGATTGTGATTCACAAATCTTTCAAGTGGGACAGCTACCATGAACCTGTAAAATTGTGTGTAATTCTCTGGACTTAACTACTGGCCGTTGATACTTGCAGGAAGTCAACAACTATCTCAGCCACAACACTCTCTTTGTGAGGCTTCCGTTTAGTGTAGTTTTCTTTTTTGATCGTCGCTAATTGATTTCTTCTCAGTTTTTATGCTTCTGTTTACTCATTTTCTGAAGCCGGATCATTGATCATAAAATTTTCCATATTATTTTTTATATCCATTCTCTTTATTATTAACTTTGTCTCTTCTTTTTATTTTCTCTCAAATTTGCCAGCATTTTTTTTTTTTTCATTTTCTTCTTTTATTCTCATCTCTTTTCGTCTATCTTTATTATTTCTATTTCTTTTTTTTAGGTTCTTTTTTTTGTTCTTTATTTATTTCCACGGCTTTCTTTCCTTGTATTTTCCCCTCTTCTTTCCTTTTTTTTCTCTTTTTTTTTATGCTTATTCCCTTCATTCTATCTATTGTCTTCTTTCTTTCTTTTATGATTTCCAATTTTTTCTTCACTGCATTTATTTGTCTTTCTTTTATTCTTCCTGTTATTACTCTTTTTTTTCTCATATTTTTCTACTTTTGGATTTTTCTTTTCTTTTACTCGTTCATTTTTTTCTATTTATCTTCATTTCGTTTTTCTTTCATAATTTATTTAAGGATTTATTTTATTTGCTTTTTTATCAATTCCTTTTTTCTTATTCATTTATTTTTATTACATAAATAAATATATTTATATGCATTTCACTAAATGCCTTTCACTTTCTTTATTCTCATCTTCTTTTCTTTTTAGTTGTTTTTCAGACACTACTCAATTCCTTCTCTTTTCATAACTGCTCTTCTTCTTTTTGGGGGTCAGCCGTATTTTTCTTTCCTCTTCCTTCACCTTTTCTTTTATTCTTAGTCTTTCATTGACTTGTTTTTGTATTCACCGCCTCATTTTCTTATTCAGGGATATTTCAAATTGTTCATCCCTTAAAGCTTGATCACTTTCATTTCTCTCTCGTTTTTATTCATTATTGATTGGTCTTCGTCCACTTAGCTTTACTCCTAATTTTTTCCATTTCTTGTAAATGTCTTGCTTCAGATCTCCTATCTTGTTTCTCACCACAAACCCAAAATCTCAACAAGCTCCAAAACGTAAACGAAACAAATTAATTACCAATAACCGAATACAAATAACAAACTACGAAGCGGAACTCCAAAATGGCAGACAGCTAACGAAAAGATTCACACCCTGCCTTACTCACTTTCATTTCTCTAGCTTCTCTTCTCATTCTCCCTCCTCTCTTTTTTATTCTTCTCTCTCTCTCTCTCTCTCTCTCTCTCTCTTTGCTACCGTTTCCTCCCTCTCCTTCTCTTATTTTTCTCACTCTGGCCCTATATCACTCCTTTTATATTTCTTTCGTTCCTTCTTTTTTTCATTTATCTCCCTCTCTATAACTATTTTCACGCTCTCTCTATCACTTTCATTGCCTTTCATTCATTCATTCTCTCTTAATTCTTACTTTCTCTCACGCTACATTTTTCTCCTTCCTTCTCAATTTCTCACTGCCTTTTCCTTTTTCTTTTTCGCCTATTCTTTCCTTCTTTCTTTCTGATGACAATCAGGAAATGAGGTTTCACAATAAAAATAAACCAAAAAATGTTTGACAATGTCGTAGCCTGTTTGTCGCTGCACAGACAGCAAGGTTTAATGAGCGTGCAGGGTGTGACCTTTATGTGGTAAACTATTATGGAGACAGAGAAGCCCCAGGAAAGAAGCCTGGAGAGAAATGGACGGAACAAAATCTTGTAGGAGTTGCAGGCATATTTTAAGCCCGTAGGAGGAGGCGATTGAGATGGTTATGAACGAGTGTCAAGGAGAGAAATGGAAAAGGAGAAAAAAGGGTGGAATGTATGTAGGTTGGAAAAGACTAGGTGGGGTTACCTTGTTCGGTAAAGCGGAGCAGAATTTGGTTAAAAAATAGAAAAAAGAACTGTATATCAATTAAAATGGATTATATATGGAAAATGTCATTAGATTAGAAATTTAAACTTTTGGGAAAGTTTGATACAAATATTTATGATTCCAAAATATAATTTGTTTCTATATTTGTTTATATTTATATATATATATATATATATATATATATATATATATATATATATATATATATAATCATCCACACCTCCTCAGTGTGGCTAGACGTCCGATTGCTTCAAGTCGGGATCGAAATACGACAGCGACTCGGAGAACAAATTCAATTTACTTGAAGAGCAAGGTTTAATAACAGTAGTTTTTGTAAAAAAACCTTTCCCTAAAGAGGTGAACCGAACATACATATATATATATATATATATATATATATATATATATATATATATATATATATATATATATATATATATATATATATATATATATATATATATTTATTATAATATGTACCTGATCTTACTAAAACCTGATAAAACCGATAAAAATTGAAAAATTTATTACTGGACTAGTCACGAGCTTTTATTTTACATTAGTAATATGTACATGATGGCCGAGGATTGTTTGTGATATTTTGGTCAGAAGATTCTTTTTAAAATGTCCTTTCATAATAACACTGATTTTCTTTCTACGTATCCCCCACACTAAAATTATATCTCACTGGGTACGGTGGAAGTTATTTTTTTATAATTTCATATTTATATAATTTATCACAATGCCAAGGAAGATATCATCCTCGAACAAAATGTTTCTACCATACCTCGCTGGACGGCAAGTTTCACTTATCCGCACGCCACACAAACAAATTAACAGTTGATATAATATAATTAGTAATGGTGCAAAGCGCAAATTACTTAATGCTGACTATTCGGATTTACCATAGAACAACCGTAAAGTACTTCCTTAGTAATTAGAAGATATCCTGTTGTTGCTATGTTCTACGCTAATGACAATTTTTTATTTGGTATATAACATTTAATACATTAAAGTGTAGTAATTATTTAAATTTATTATCACTTACCATTGGTGACATCTTATTTTAAGTAATTTTTATAATGAATATTAATATGTATATTCATCGGAAAAAAGTATTATGTATGTACAGTTGATTACTATTCGCAGTTGATGCAGAGATTGCAACATGTCTTTTATGGATGAATATATAACTTATTTTTAATGATTTCACCCCAAGCATGGTGATAAAGCCATCAAGATTCAATATGCTGCTGAATGTGAAATAATCTAAGATTAAAAATTATTAAAAAGAGAGGACTATAAAAGGATTGGGTTCAACGATAAGAAACATACCGATTGACAATTTTTGAAGGCCAAACTTCACTGGAAAACAAAATGTCAGAAGATAGTTTCACAAATGTGAAATATGAGAGAAGAAACTTATGGTTTCGTCTAGGAGTTTTAATTGTAAAATGACGAGACCTAGCTGCCAGTCTAATACTATGCTTAAATTCGTAAATCTGAGGCAACGAAGATGAATGCCCCTCACAGCAATTGCCATGAAAATATTTATTGAAAACTACCTGGGAATGCACATTACAGTAGAAATGTTACTCCAGCCAAGATAACACATCAGGACTAATAACATTGCAGATTCTTTCGATTATATCAAAAAGCACCCGAGCAGATGTGTCAGCATTATTTAATGCATGGACGAATTGTGAACTTACAATTGTGTAAAATAGATTCTGACAAGATTCCTAACGGTAGGCCGAGCAATCAATTCTATATAATTGTTCATTTCAATTTCGAGAAGGCGTAATGAGTAAATTTCTTGGAGGTTAGCATCAGCCATACCAATGAAAAATAAAAAAGACCATTAAAAGAGAGCAGTTTTGTTTGGTATGTACACTACAAGTCAAAGTTTGTGTACAGAGAAGACTAAATAAAAGTGTGGCAATAATATTTAAATATATATAAGGGAACGTTAACAGAAGTTAGTTTTACTGACTGAGATTTTGAAATTTAGTCGAACTCTGGATTTTGATTACAGCGATTTGTCTAATGCACTCTTCTGTATTTGCTGCGCGTATATTACACTTGATTGATCATCAGTGTCGTTGTGGATAAAACAAAGGTTAACTCACAAACGTGATTGATTGCAATCATTTTTTATTCTTCATTCTTCTTTTTATTTTCTATTTAAGGCTAAAAATCCAATCATCAATTTAAACACATGGCTTGCCATCTGTCGTCATCGTTGCAATTTCTGATATATACCACAATTACTGATTGGAAAATCCTCGTTATATTAGAAGGATCTCAAGCTAAATAGTTTTCCACATGTAATTTGCAAGATGACTTTATCGTGTTATTTCTATGCAAGCAAAATTGCGTTAGGAGACACTGGCGAATAACCATGGGAAAAAGATGTGTCTTGTCAAAGCTTTAAAGTGCACAAGAAACGAACCGGAGATGGAGAACATCTTGTTAAATAAGGACAATTCAAGAGAAAAACAAGGTATATTACAGACTCTGCAAACAGCAATAATATTTATGTGCTTAGATGTCAAGTACCACACAAATGACTGAATTTACTTTGCTTGATAAGTAACGATTGAATAAAATCTTTGTTATTCGGAAGTAGACAATAAAAATATCGAATTAAAGTTTGACGCATTGATAGCATAATCAGCGACAAACTTATGTTCAAAATCAGTGACTATTATCTTCGAGATGACTTGAAGTCTTTTTTAGCTCAACCATGACATAATCATAGCAAGTAACAAGTGAAAAAAGATCATACACGATCAATGAAACTGAGCCTGATTTCTGTGAAAATAAATGCGGGAAAAACGGCTTCTCTAATTTCCTTAATAAAGACAATTTCCAATTCCTTTATAAATAAGGATAGAAAACATTTTTTTTTATATATGATTTCCTCATCGGTCAAGTTTACCCGTCGTTGTTCTTATACTTGTAACGTTTAGGCGTTATACCTTCCAGCCTTCTTCAGGTGCCTATATACGTACGCGGTGACCTCAGAATGTTAAGCCGAACTATTTGTTCAATCCAAGGATGTTAGATTTTTATCATCCCGCTTTTCCAGCTGAGTGGAGTAAAACGCTTGTTAAAATACATCGGGTACGCCTGTGTTGCTTGAGTTCGATGCTTTATCTGGTAGAGATGAAAAAAATTATATTCATATACACGGGCTTCGTGGAATAAACAGACAAGCGGCACAAAAGGAAATAAAACTGGTGGGTATGAACTGTTATAAAGTTTCCGCTAAGCATAGAAAGTAAGAAGAAAATATTCTACTGCTTCCCATGGATTAAATAAATGGCTCAATATTCTAAGTAGCCAACTAGGTAGGATGACATAGATCTGAAGAAAAACAGAGAGTACAAGGATTGAAACGTGGTGAGCATATAAACAATGATAAGTTTGTTGGTATGAATAGCACAGCATATAATAATAATTTACCTACAGAATTAAAAAAAAAATTATTTTACTTAATTGATGAAATCATACGGAAATACATACGCAGTATATTTATTAGGCATTAGTCAATAGTCATGCTTTTGTATCCAAAATGGAAAGCCAATTCCATAACTTGGATCCCTGGATTGATTTACGAAAATACATTGAATGCTTCATAGAAAATATAGTGTTTAATACGGAATTGCAAATTACTACTGAAAATAGAGACGGAATGAAAAATAATGAATTATGCTTGCCTTATAAGCGTTGGCTTTCAACGTTTCTACATTCTTGTCAATCGCAGTAGCCACGTCTTACCTACTCGATACTCTCCGTGTGCAAATACTGGAAATGAGTAGTTGATTTTCCAGACAGTTGGAGTTCAACGCTGAATCCCTCGTGGCATCGCTAAGACAAGGGGCGTTGCTTGGCAATTCCTATAACTTTTCCAAATAATATCAGACATATTAGGTTACATAGCATAATTAACAGGAGGGAATTCATATAAAACACTAATATATTTGCATTCCAGAACAATTAGTCGAATATTTTAAAAATAAATCAATGTGATATGCTGTTTCCCTGAAGTCATCTCGTGTAAAATGCAAAGCATGTTTGTCGATATTTAAATTGTATCAGCAAGAATTTCATTATCAAATACGCAGATACGAAAACTAGAAAATAGTCAAAAGTTAAAACAGAAATAATTAATTAAAATTAATAATGCAACATCAGTGTTTTAGTAGTTTAAAATATTTTAATTCTTATTTGTATATCATGTAAACTTTAAAATCGTAAATTATATATGTACAACAAAATAAACAGAACGAAATGTAGTTTATTTCTGCGAGGTATACCATGTACCCAAATTATCTAACACGGTGTGAGAAAAGCGCTGATGTCCATTGTCAAAAGATGAGACAGTAAATAAGCAACAAGAGCCAAACGAATGAAAACGATAATCACGTGGTATGCAGTTGGAAAATATGCATGAAAATCATCATTAACTCTGCTGAATATTCACCTGATTAAAAATAAATTTGCAATCAGCGAAAGATAATGATACAGAAGATAGTAAATAGTTTTCAATTTTTTTCAAATGTAATTCGAAATAAAGGAATTTATAACGGAAATTAAAGATTAAATCGGATTACAATGGCCAACACGGTTTTTGGTACAAAGAAA